CCCCGGTCACACAGATGCATGGCAACAGAGACTCAAAGCACTTAGGACATCTTCATTGTGCAGTACAAGGGGATTAACTATATGGTGTTGACGTGAGAATTTCAAGAGAGGCAGATAGTTCAACTGGAGCTCAGAACAAGGGAGGGGAACATGACAATATTTTTTCAAGGGAGGGGAACATGACAATATTCTCCCATCTCATTTTCTGCATGGTTACCTATTCTCGGAAGTGACATGGTACTCAATGAAGAAAGCACCAGATGAGTCAGTTCCACAGCATTGCAACTGCATATAAATTATTTTATTTAATTTATTTAGAATATTTATATCCCTCTCTTCTCTCAATCAACGGTACTCGAAGCAGCTTAAACTCAGTTCAAAGTTTCCTTTCACACAAAGTAAGCAACACAAACATCAAAAAGAGACCAATTTGCCAGCCTGCAAAGAGGTAAGATCGGCAAGGGCCCAGAAACACACATTCTCTGTTGTGGTTCCCACCTTACGGAATGGCCTGCCTGAGGACATCTTTTCACAGAAGGTGCAGAACAAAAACATTTAGTAGGGCATTTTTGTAAGGGAATTAACTGTGGAATAATGAAACAGCTCAAGAGGATGCTTTTGCAAGGGAATAGGCATGAAGTCTATTCTAATGTTTATACTCTGCATCACCTTGCTTTTATTGCATTAAAAGGTAAAGGTTCCCTTGCTCGAAAGCCAGTCGAATCCGACTCTAGGGTTGCGGTGCTCATCTCCGTTTCAAAGCCGAAGAGCCAGCGCTGTCCGAAGACGTTTCCGTGGTCATGTGGCCGGCATGACTAAACACCAAGGCGCACGGAACGCTGTTACCATCATGCCTTATAGATGCCTTTTTTGCTTCTATTGTTTTCTAACTCTGCAGTCCCAGTAACAGGGTTCCCCAACGTAGTGCCCATGGGCACCCAACACACCTGACAACACCTTTCCTGATGCCTGCCAAGGGTTTTTAGAAAGTGGGGGGGCAGGGGGGCTCCTGCCAGGCAAGACTTCTGATTGGCCACTGGAGGTCTAATCGGCTGTGCAGATTAAAGTACCATTGTTTCAGCGGCAGACCCACAGAGAAGCCATTTATACTAGCAGACTTTGGGGGCATAAAGTAATTTAGGAGTCACTGTGGCTGCTGTAGAAGGCAGGTTAGACTTGAGCGACTGATCTACTCATGAGACTAAGAATCCCTTCTTAGGAGGGCGACATTTAACCTCAATTTCCCTCTTTATTTCCATCTACTGATATGAAGTTCAGGCTTAATGGCAGGAACTGTTCATTGACAAGAACACTGCTTCTTTTCTTTCCCTGCGAGCAGTGTGGACAAAAGCAGAATATAAGGGTATTGTAACATCAGCAGTATTCTGATAAACCATCCCCACTCCCTTCCCCTTTAAACCCCAAAAGGAAGTAAATAGTGGAAGCAGATTTGCTGACTAACTGTCCTTGCTTCACTAGGCAATAATTTTTCATAGACATAGCAGCCTTTCCCCAGAATTACTCACTTATCCTTCCCCTTGGCCACCCATTCCTCTGCCAGCTGTTTCCTCTCCTGAACACTCAGGGACGGGCCTTCCCCCGTTGTCCCATTCACTGTTAACAAAAGAAAAGTTGTCGTTTTTAATTGAGAACACATCAAGAAGGTGGACGATGTCTCTGTTTTAAAATAAGGAAGCCTGTTTCATGCCAACCTTGTGAGAGTGGAGACTTATTCAGTAAAATTAGGAGTGGCGATTCCCACTGGAAAACATGCATGTGCTGTTTAGGCTTCAAGGCCAACTGCACCATGCCAAATTCTTTCACTGAGTGATATAGCATCCCAGGCATCTTGATTACTGCTTCTGAAGAGTAATCTTCAAACACAAAGCCCTGAAGAAGATCCCATTCGAAAGGAGGGATTGAACCGGGGCTCGTACAACTTGTGGTGATTGAAGAGGCGCTACATGAGCTTTGGAAGACTACTCACTGGTATTATGTGGCATCCTTTATGTTTATTTGTGAGCAATTCACACATGACTCGTTTGTGCCTTGTTCTGTATATGACATTAAGGTGGCATTTGCTATTCCGATTTGGTGTATTAAAATAACAATTTAACTTCACAGATTTCATTCTTTAAAATTCTTTGCAATTTATTTTGATTATGTAAATGCATCATATCAGAAACTATTGGAACAATCATTTAGACTTCACGTACGGGTAGGGTTGCCAAATCTGTTTTGGCCGGGACTGGGGGGCTCCCGGCCGGTGTCTGTCTTGTGCGCGCGCGCGTCACCCGGAAGTGACGTTGCACGCTGGGGTGGGGTTTCCCCCGGGCCCAATTCCGCGCGGGGCGGAAGTCGGGCCTTGAAAGCGGGGGGAAATCTGCCCCCGGGGTCCCCGCCCCCCGGTGTCATTTGGGAACCCTACGTACGGGTTTCATACAGCCTGTTCTGGTGTTTTTGGTGTTGACTTGTATATCCTACACACCAGGTCCCTTGTTGTTAGTCTCCAGGTGGCGACTGGAGATCTCCTGGAATCACAACTGGCCTCCAGGTTACGGAGGTCAGTTCCCCTGGAGAAAATGGCCGCTTTGGAAGGTGGACTCTATGGCATTGTACCCCACTGAGGTCCCTCCCCAAACTCCAGGCTCAGGCCCGTAGCCAGGATTTTTTACTTAGCGGGCATTTAAATAAGTCGGGGGGGCACCCCCCCCACACAACTGTGTCAGGAAATGGAGAGAGTAAAAGTGGGGAAAAGTGACGCGAGAGGGGGGGGCAAGGGTGCCGGCAGGCAGGGCAGGGCAATGGTTCAGTAAGGCCCTGTCACATGTGAAAAACAAAATAAACCGTCTGGATGGTAAGTGAGGAGGCATGGGTGGTAATTCGGGGGGTCCGGCCCTGAGATCCCCCACTGTAGCTACGGGCCTGACCAGGCTCCACCCCCAAAACCTCCAGGTATTTCCCAACCCAGAGCTGGTAACCCTATGGGTTGGATTCCTTGGAAAACTTCTGTCGTTTTCACTGACTCTCCCCTCTTGCTGTTTCTGGGGGTTCCCTGTCCCCTTCAGGAGCAGCACCTCAGGGGCCATTTGGAGCGGTGCCAATAAGCAAGGAAGTCCTGCTCTGCTGACAGAAATCCCTCCTACAATGGAAAGCTGCCCTGGAACCCAAGTCCCCATTCTGGAAGCTTCCCTGGCCTCCTCCTTGGAGTCTTTTGTACATCACTGTCTTTTTGGTGTCTAGAGGTTAGTTATATTAACTCCGCTGGAATCTGGTTTTTCCTTTGGCCGTTTTGGATTGTCACTTTTTAAATTATTTTAAGGTTTTATAGCCAACCTCACCATCATAGAAACCCCAGGTTGGGCTGAGTGTTAAGGACTCCCCCGCCTCAATTCACCCAGTGGTCTGAAGGAGGCTGGACCATTGGATTTGTCTTTCCTAGCAGGGTTCTGGGAATATCCCAGCAAGTCATGTCTCGAGCTGCTCCTCTAAAGCAGTCATTTTCGTATTTTCTGCTTTCAGGGAACCCTTCTACAACAGTCTCTGCTGCAGAACCCATGCCTGGGAGGGGCACAGGGCTGGGAGCACATCCCAGGGTGCATGCTCAGTTCAATTCAAGGAAGACAACAAGGATGCCCAGCATGCCCCATCAATGCCTGCAGGAGCCGAGTTTACATTGCAGAACAGTTTGACATGGGTGTTTTCTGCCTTTACTGGTCTTCTGATTTAGAAAGTGCTCATAAGTTTTTAAAGGAACTGTTTGCAAACACAGCCATGCTGAGACAGTCTTTGCTTAAAACAGAACATTTGTACACTACAACCCTATATTGCCGCTATAACAACAGTCACGGCTTCCCGCCAAGAATCCTGGGAGCTGTAGTCAGCTGAGATGCTGGGAATTCCATCAGAGACTCTTTATGTTGGAGGTGTCGAACTCATTTGTTATGAGGGCCAGATCTGACATAAATGTCACTTTGTTGGGATGGGCCATGCATGCCATAAAATGTAACACAAGGTACCAGAGATATAAACTTTACAAATGTGATTTCAGATGTTGAATGGCAATGGCAGATGAATGACAATTGCAGGCTTGATTGGACTAGGTGTGATATGCAGAGGGGTAGTTAGTGTGGAGATACCAGCATTGGTAATGAGACAGGAAACCTAGGTCTCAATTCCATCCAGGAGGATTTAGTCCAGGAGGATGCAAAGAATAAATGGACATAAGTCTGACATTAGAAACCACAACATTCAGTTGCTGACCTAAGAGTAGCAGCAAAGGGAGATTAGAGAGACTTCTGAATTACAATTGATAATGAAGCTCAAGACAATGCAAACTCCTGGACTGAATTGAGACCTAAGCTTCCTCTCTCATTACCAATGTTTGCTATTATCATTTGGCATCTGAAATCACTCCACTCTCCAAGATATAAGGACCAATCCAAGTGTTCTAATTCCTAATCAGGCTTTTTTTGAAAGAAAATAAATCCAGACAAGAACAAAGAAATCCAATCTTTTTTGTAAAAAACTTTTCAGAAGAAGCCAAAACAATTTCCTCAATGTATATTGTGCTTGTCAGAAGATTCCACCCATCCACCCACTAGCTCCCTCCCTCCCATCCTCCCAAGAAGTATGCTTGCACTGTTGCACACAAAAGCTTATACCTGGAATAAAATGTTGTTGGTCTTGAAGCTGCAATGGGACTCCAACTTTGTTTTCTCTCTCTTTCCTCCCCTCCCTCCCCAACAGAGAAGCAGCCCAGAAGAAGAAAGCAGAAGCTCTCTGTGTTTGTGTGTATGTGTGTGTGAGAGAGAGACAGATACAGAGACAGAGAAAGAGGCAGGCTTGTCTTTGTATCTCTCCTGTATGAAGCAGCAAGGAGCCACAGAGCTCTGTGTGTGCCTCTCTGTGTGTGTGTGTGTTTGTGTGTGTGTGTGAGAGAGAGAGAGAGAGAGAGAGAGCGCAAAGAAGGGGGGAGGGAGGCAAGAGGCAGAAAACAGGAAGCAGGAAGCAAAGAGCCACTGAGGGAGCTGGGGTGGGGGGAAGCAGCCCTGGGAAAGGAAGCAGGAGACAGAAGTTGCATCCGGCCCACAGGCCACCTGTTTGACACCCCTGCTTTATGTGTGCTATTATCAGGCTTGCCTACGAAGAGGAAATGGCCATGAAGTTTGTGTTGAACATGTGTCTGAATTGCCTGTGGTCTTACTTCCCTGTTTCTTGGAGGAAATTAACTGGACAGTTCAATAATACCTCACTTTAATTGCTGCAGTGCACACAAAGACTTTAGCTACGTGTGGCATCTTTAACTAACCTATTGCAGCATAAGTTCTCATAGGCAAGGCCTTACTTTGGAAAGGCTTTTGTTTGCAAAAGCCTGGCACTGCAATAAATCACTTTTAAAATGCAAAGGGACTTTGCCTTAATCCAGACACAGAGTGAACAGCAATTTTACCAAGTAGTTGGTCAGGTTCCAAAACACAGAAATGCTGCCTTTTAACCTCTTGATATGATCGGTCTGGATGACTAGGGCTGTCCATATTTGGAACCATACCAACTTTCAGAGCAGGGATAGAAAGCCGGGCACAAGTCACAAAAGACTATAACTTACCAAATACATTCTTCACACCTTGCTCATTTACCAGATAGTCCACATACTGACCAATCACAGACAGGTTGATTTCCCTAGAAGAAAATAATGCTAGTCAGTAGAAATTATTGTGTATGGAATTCCTTGCATCTCACTGTTTCATGCAAAGAAGTTATATAGGGGAGAAAAGTCACTAGATTAGAAGTTTTATGGTGAATCGATAACTGGACTATATTGTCCTTCGGTTATCGAAAGTGCTTTGTTCAATTTCCTACCTTCCACCACCCGTCTCTCTGCCGCTTATCTACTTAAAACCAACTTTGTCATAAAACCCATGGCTTAACCTCTCACCTCTAACCTGAGCCGCTTCGGCGGGAGGGCAGAGTAGAAATTTAATGAATGAATAAATAAATAAATATAAATGTAGCCTAAGAATATATTAACTGGATTTGGCCATATTGATAACCCTTCTACTCGTACACAAATGCAATATCTGAATCAAAACTAGCTCTCAAGAATACTCCTGGATCAATCTTCGGAAACACAGAAGCAGCACTTATGGTGTGTGACTGCTATACAAACAAACAACAGATTTCGGAGGTATTGCCTTTAGGTAACCAGAACTCTGTTCCCCTCCTCTTTTATTATCACAAAGTACTCAACACTGATAGTCAGGAAACCCCATAACTGGCTCCTAATATTTCCCCAAACATACTGACTAGCTGAAAAAGGTCAGCTTGTGAATTATGCAATCAGTGGTTCAGAGTAGGGATGCTAAAGACAGTTGTTGATTTGAACTTTGAGATTTTGACTTGATAGAGGCAATAAGGAGAAAAAAATATCATTTAGCTGAAGACAGACCTGAGGGTTCTTTTTAAGAAAGGCGAAAGGGGTACCGTAAGGGGCATTGCTCTCTAGGGTTGCCAGCCTCCATCTGGAGATCTCCCGCTTTTACAACTGATCTCCAGCTGACAGAAATCAGCTCCCCTGGAGAAAATGGCTGCTTTGAACGGTGGACTCTGTGGCACTGTACCATGTTGAGGCCCCTCCCCTCCCCAAACCCTGCCCTCTCCTGGATCCACCCCCAAAGTCTCCAGGTATTTTCCAGCCCAGACCTGGCAACCCTATCGGTCTCTGTGACATGCACACATGATAGGTAGTCATAGTTCCTTGCAAGCTTTGTGTTTGATTGTTTATATGTTACTGCCTCTTTAAGGGCCAAACCACACATAACAGCAGCCATGGGTTTGACCCACAGCCACCAACGATATTTTACAGAAGGATTTGACCATTTAAAAAAATACCACAAGGACCCAATCCTGTTTGAGCCTGGAGCACAGGAGGGGCCAGGCACTCTTGTTCCCACCTCCCACATGTTTTCGGGTGCCCAAATGGCCAGTCCCCTTGTGGCTGTTTCAGTACTTGAAAAGAAATAAAATCACCTCACGCTCCCACCCACCCCCTTTGCAGCATTTTTTTAAAAATGGTCAAATTCTTATGTAAGATGACATCGGTGTCCACAGGTCAATCCCATGGCTGCCACAACATATAGTTTGGCTCTAAGACACAACCAAGTGGCACTCTGGAGAAAGCAAAAGAAGGAGCAGTTTCAAGTACTGAAGTGATTTTAGTTGTGAATGTGTTGTAGCTCATATTTGGTGTATCTTTAAGAAATAAATGTAGAAAATATTTCCTGTCTTTCTTCCTTATTGGAGTATAACATACTCTCTCTCTCACACACACACATCTATCTTTAGTCCTTATAACCACTCTTCCTCTTAACTCTGTACCTCAGGGTAACTACACTTAGCAACAGGGAAGTTCAGTTCCATGCCTGATGCCACAAAGTTCTGCCATCTGCTAGGCAACAGAAACTCCATTCTGTCTAGCTGTCTGCCAACCAACCTCAGTAATGCCTCTTGCTAGTGGGCAAAAAGTAACCCAAGTGTGTGTGTGGGGTCTCTTGTTTCGGTGCCATTTGGGATACTTCCCTGGCCAACAGACATTTTGTGTGATCCTTTCTATCTCTTTTAAGAGCGCTGACTCAGGTACAGAAGAAGCTCCAGGGCAAGACATTATTGCTTCACATTCTCGTGCTCTGAGGTAATAATTATCAGCATGTCTCTCCACTTGCTGACTAAAGCAAACTAGTTAATCTGCGAAGACAGAATATATTTGTTTATGGAGGCAACAAGAGACTCATGTTCAGGAGAGACAATGAGAATCAAAGATTGTGTGGATGATCAACAGCATTGCTATTTCAACACAGCTTTATGGTTTGCCCTCCCAGCAGATACTGGATTGTACTCTTCTGAAGTTGTCTTTCCAACTCATGACCTTCACTTCTTATGTTGAGCAAGACTTCAAGAAGCAGAGGCAGCGAGCGCAGAAACCACCAAGACTTTGTCATAAATAGTCTACTTGTTTTAGTTTACTGTAGAAGAACTCCCATGGTCCATTAATTGGTTTTAAATTTACAAAGAAAGTGCATCTTCAAGATACCTTAACACTTAAGTGATAAATGTTCAATGCTCAGTAATCCCAAGTATACACTTGCTTATGAAGCCCTTTGCAGGACTAGCCCAAGGTCCATTTAGTCTAGCATTCCTTAGTCCATAGGCTGGTGTGCACCCCAAGAAAAGAGTCAGAAAGAACAAGGTATCACCACCTTTGAATTAGCACAAACAGATGACTCAGGTAAGTGAGCCAGGCTATATACTTCAAAGGCCAAATGCTTCTTCAGGTTATGAAAAGAGCACTAATTGACCATTGCCATTCAGAAGCCCATTTGATTTTGTTTTCTCCTTTTCAAAAGACTGAGCAGCCAAGGAAATGGTAACACAATTCTAGATTTCAGTTAACAATACAAATCAATGTAACACTAGAGTAATTTAAGAGAACACCAAACCATAATTTCCATAGGAAATACTTACCCATTTTGAGTCATTGGAGTGATGGTGGCCGCCACAAGGCCTTGCAGCTTCTTCTGAGGTGCCATAAGGTAGCTGAGTGTGAAGTCAGGAAAAAGATTAAGAGAAATCTGGCTGGAAGGGGAAAATAAGTTTGCTTTGAATGATCTCTGTTAATACCAAACCCTCACAAGAAAATTCCAGGACACAAAGAACTTGTAAACATCTTTGATGAACAATACTTGGTCTTTGCAATCCCCAACACCCATGCAAGATTTAAATCACAATGGCATAGATTTATATTTTCACATTGTTTTAATTGTAAACTGCCTTGAGAAGGACCCTGAACAGACAGAATTGAAATATCCTAGATAAAATAAAGAATAAATAAAATTGTCCCACTAAATCATTTTGTACTTTATTTCCAAGTAGACCAGTTTAGAATCACTCCCTCTGTTTATCAGGGTCTATTTGGAAATAAATACCACGTTATTCCATGGGATTTACTCCCAGGAAAGTGTCTTTAGGATTGCAACCAGAGTTCCTTTAAATGGTTTCAAGGAGGAGGAGGAGGAGATTGGATTTATACCCCACCCTTCACTCAGAGTCTCAGTTTACAAACTCCTTTCCTTTCCCCTCCCCACAACAGACACCCTGTGATGTTGGTGCGGCTGACAGAGCTTTGAGAGAACTGCCCTTTCAAGAACAGCTGTGCCAGAACTATGGCTTGCCCAAGATCATCCAGCAGCTGCAGGTGGGGGAATGGGGAATCAAACCCGGTTCTCCTAGATTAGAGTCTGCGCTCTTAACCACTACACCAAACTGGCACCCGACACTGGGCTTCTGAAGATGGCTGTAGCTGTTGGTCAGCTTCAGGAAGGAGTAGGCAGTCCTTCAGGCATGTTGGCCCCAAACCAGATGCGGTTTCAAAGCAGCACTGAATTGTGCCCAAAGCAAATTGGCCCCCTGTGACGTCCCCGCTTATTTGGGAGATGGTTTTACCTTTAAAACTCTCTTCTGTGTACCTAAACTTGGTAGATTTCTGCTGCCACCAGGAATTAAAAAATCCAAATCTCTCTTTTGGTAGAATGACCCAAGGTCTGGGCACTTCAGAGGACTATGTGGCCCTGAGGAAGGACTGTTTTGATTTCTGGGATACGTTTAAACAAAAAATGATTTGTTTAATAAAGAACAAAATAGGTTTCTGGTTATGTTGAATGCTGATGAAAGGAACTTGTAAATATAACTGGCAAAGCTTGGAGTCACAAACAGTCTCTCAGACTCCAAACTCCACTCTGACCAGCTTAGACACTTAGTCTTATCTCTCTCATATATATATTTAGCCACACAGGCTGAACTATTTCTCTTATTCACACAGAATACACTCAAAAACTCCCATAGTCACACAGACAATGCTCTCTCTTCAAACGTCACACACAGAATCTCCTCATAGACATCTCTCCTCCCACACCCTCAGTCATCAACCAGTCACATCACACTTATCTCCCTCTATCACTCTCCTTACAGTACTGCAGTCAAACTAAACATTTAAAGAAACACACACACACCAAAGCATGAACTCATTACACACACCCCTCCTGCTGAGGCTGTGGCCAAGGAGTTGTGGGTGGCCATGAGATTTGATGGGAACAGCCTTTTCTTCCTGGAAGGCAGTTGGCCTGGCAGGCACGTCCTCCCCCTTCTAGCAGTTCCAAGTGTTTGAACATTGCCTTTCCACCCAACTTCGGGTCCCTAAGATGACTGACCATCACAGCGTTAAAAATATGTTGAAATATAAATGAATGTACATGAAGCATTTTGAATGATTCATAAAATGGGGGAGGTATTTGTGAATGTCCTGCATTGTGCAGGGGGTTGGACTAGATGACCCTGGAGGTCCCTTCCAACTCTGTGGTTCTAAAATGTGTAGACACATAGCCGTGAAAAGGAAG